CAGCCTTATCGTAGGCTTATGAGCTCAGCATGCAGGGGCAAGCCAGCACGCTCGCATTCCTCAGGGGAGGAACAGCGTCTTGGCCTGGTGAGTCTGTTTTCAATGGCAACCATTATGAAAACCATACACCTGACATTTTTCCAGATATCTAGGGCAGGGACGGCGGTGACCCTGCAAATCATGTGGCTGCTTTCTCTCACTGGATTCACACGGACGGGTAAACGTCCTACCTTTTCTTCTCGGATTCAGATTACTTACTACAATAACCACACCTTTTTTAAGGTGGTTGCGGTGGATGAGAGGAGTAGAGATGGAGAACAGAAGGAAGCTGAGCTCAGAAAGTGAAAGCAAGGAGAGAAGAATTGACAAAATCTGGAAGGGACTTGTGTGTGAATTTGTCCACAACATGCCTCAGTGTGACTAGCCTGGGAAAACCCAGACAACTTCCGGCAAATTTAGATTTGCTCTGAAAGTTAGTCTGACAAAGAGCTCATTCAAACCCATTTCTAGTCCACAGAAATCGTGGCACCAATCAGAAACGTTGGGACGGGCTTTACACGATGACGACAGCGCTGGAATTTTGAAGCAGATTTTGTAGCCTACATTACAAAGATGGACATCACTCGTCGCCCTCGAAAATCACTCACTCGAACTAGCTATCGCGTCTGTTTTTAAGCGTTTTGAACGTTTTCTTTTTGTTAAAAGCCAAGCAAAGAACAACACTCAGTGATGTTTCTCCGCCGGCCGCCACTCTGCAAATGTCATCTCCTTCATCGCTCTGATTGGTTAAAGGTCTACCTGCGACGTCCGCTGGTGACGCCCCTCTGGAAATGATTTGTCTATGACGCTTTGCCAGACCATAACTCAGTTACAACAACTGAGATTGGTCTGGTTTTAACCAGGCTATCAGTGTGACGGTAGAAAAACAGAGGAACTTTTAGATTGAGGTGACAGGAGAGCGCAGCACCTCTGTCATAAAATCCTAGACACGAACGGCACAATATAGTGGCACTAATTTTCTTACAGATGTATGAGAGGGGCAATTAAACCCTTTATAGCACCCCCACCCCCACCCCAACCCTCGGAATTGCAAGCAGTAATTAAGAATCATTACTGATCAAATAAAATTTAAAGTCGTATGCTCTCAGATTTAGCAAGAATGTGAGATTGATTGAATTTATGCTACCAAAAAAGGTCATAAAAGCTGGAGGCAATTAACGGTTTCTCAGAGAAAAACATCAACAAGGCTCTAAAGCGCAGTTAAAACATAATCAAACAAATAAAACAAAATAATGCTCACTAAATTTCGGTTTACAAATCTTAGAAATCTACATCCGTTAACCCTGGTACCTCGTCAGTGATCGTAAATTTGAAAAGGCATGAGAAAAAAAACGAGCAAAGGACCCGTTTTCACGGTGTTGGTAATTTAGAGGGTTGGCTTGCAGCCAATAAAAGGGCCAAATCGATCCAGTCGACCTCAGGGCCCAATGGCAGTGTTATTTACTACTGTGTGTGGCAGTAGTCACAGATCACCCACTCTGACATCCTAGCGTTGGGTGGGCTGAGACCACAAATAGAATTGTCAGTAATCTCCGCAGTCAAGCTCTAGCTGTTTGTGTGGTATCCAGGAATGAGACTACATGGGTAATTAGAGCGGATATAGAGACAAGCTCTCTCACACATACACACACACACACACATACACAGGTGAGGCACACTCACCGTGACTCGGGACGCCCATGTTGTTCGCCAACTGATACAGGCGCTGCTGCTGCTCCTCATAAGAGCCATGCTCGTTCAGAGCTGACATCATGCGCCTGTAGTGCTCCTCGGGGGTCATGTGACTGCCTGGCTCCAGCGCAGGAGTGTGAGAGTTTTCTGTGGGATCAGAAGAAGCTAAATTTAATCAGCTGTTTCAAACTATGTGATTGTATGTGAGATGTTTGAATGTTTGAGTGAAGGAGAAGCCTATGTGTGGTTCTCCTCGGTACGCTGGGCGGCAGTAACTCAAGCCAGTGCATGGGGAGAGACTCTTGGGGGAGTGATGGGGAGGAGGAAGATTGGTGGAAGGGGGGATATTTTACCCTCCTCATTGAAACAGGAGCTTGGCCCCGGGCAGGCGAACAGAAGCAATGCAGCCCGGCGCAGGGGACTGGGGGGAGTGTGTTCTGCCAAGCGCCAGATAATCCACCCGAGAGGCTTCAGGTGTGTATGTGTGTGAGCATGCTCATGTGGATGATGTTTTGAGGCATTGTGAGTATGAACAATTCTGCTGTATGGGTGATGCGTGCGGGGGGTATATATATATATATATATATATATATACATATATATAATATATATATATATATATATATATATATATATATATATCAAAATTGATTAAAAAATACAATAAAAACAATTATAATATGAAATATTATTACAGCTTATTATTACAACTGAAGACTGGATTAATGGCTGTGATCCAGTCGATGCTGGATTTAATGCATCCATGCAGAATAATGCTGAACACACACACATACATATATATATATATATATACACAGCATTCTTAAAATAAAATGAGAAATAATGGTCTGGATAGGGGATCAGTACTACCCTCCAGCTGTGTGTGTGTGCATGCGTGCGTGCGTGCGTACGTGCGTGAGTGTGTGTTTGTTTGGAAGGAAGGAGCTTAGACACAACAGCTGCTATGCTCTCAAACTACACACACATGTGCACACAAAAGCATACACATGCAACATGCTATGTTGTTTGGGTGTGGTGATGGATCACAGACATGCAGACACAAGACATTAGATCAGCGGCATTCCAAAGCCATGCTAATCCACAGCGGGTGACCGACGCAAGCCAACTGTAATTCACCGACCTAAAACACACATAACACCCATTTATCATTCTCACTGCAGCAGCCGTGCTGATTGGCTACACGGTGACGAGCGAGCAGGTAATGCCTCAAAATAAAATATGCTATCTAAACACAAGAGATCTCAGACCACTGATTATTGGGTGTGGAATGTGTTGAGACACATATAGAGATGTCGCATACTAGATGCAGTTATGTGAAAACTTTATTATTAAAATACTGAAAATATAATATTGAATTTAATAATGACCATCATGATTATTTGTATTTCAGAATGTCACTTCTATGAGAATTGTTTTAGCATATTATTTTTATAACATAAATGAGTATAACATTTTTAAAAACACTGAGCCCTAACCAGATATCACACAAAGTGTGGGAAAATCTTCTTATTTATATGCATACTGGGGAACTCTGCCAATAGTAAAATCTCACTGACCCAAAATTCTGTCATATCTTCTGATTGGCTGTGATTTGCATAGTATTTTTTTAGTATAGTATCTTTGTCACACTTGGTAAGCGCACAATATTAATACCACCAGTGAGCAAACAAAAGGTGAAACTAAAGAATGGGTAAGAAAAGGTAAAATTGGATTTTCAGAATGACAGTTTATTTCTTAAAAACAGTATTTAGAACAATTATTACAGATCTCACTGTTGTAGATAACATATGTATATGGAATACTTGGGTGGGCTAAACAAAACAAACAAACATTATTAACAAATTAACCTAAAAATATGTTACAATAATGTTAGGTAGATTTGAGGACTGGTCACCTCACTGGTCTGAGGAACAGATCCAGATTACCGCCTGCTCAACTCTTCCTGCTAGATGCTTGATTATATTTGACTTGGTGTCACTGAGTCTGCCTGATGTTTCTGCTGCCTGCCTGTTACGCTGTTCCACCTCATTAGCTCAGCCTGTTGACAATACCCAGGAGCCTCACCGATTTGCATTTTAGCGAAATCTTAAGATTTAAATGTTAGCATTAAGATATTGATTTTGAGCTAAATTTTAGATTTGATTGCTTCATCCAACTGAACAAAAAATTGAGGGTGTCCAAAAACACAGTAACTTCAAAACCATGGGCTTATCTCACAGACTCAAACACATATCCATGAACGGAAAAAGAAACCATAATTTCTTTTCCTAGCAAGAGGAAGTCAAACATCACCCAATTCTCCCTACTGTGTCCCTCACTCAATTGCTAATTCTCTCTCCAACAAACCACCAAAATGTATTAGAATAAGACTAAACTGTACTTCTTGGATTTGAGGCTTTTTTTAATACCTGGTTGAGTCATGACGGTTGTCAGTATGGATGCGGGACACCACCCTAAAGAAGAACCTGTGAGAGCCTGTGTTACAATAGAGAAGGCATGGGCAACTTGGGTGATGGGAGGCCACTGTCCTGCAGAGTTTAGCTCCAACCCTGATAAAAAAATCCAGTAGCTTTCTGGTAATCCTGAAGAAATTGATTAGCTTGTTTAGGTGTGTTTGATTAGGGTTGGAGCTAAACTCATTGACTTCAACATTAATAACCTAATTTTCAGCGTCACAACTTTCAGTGTCACAACTTCAAATCAGATCCTGTGTAGTCTAACAAGCACTATTAGTAATCAGACCATACAATTCATACAGAACTTATCCCATTCACCTTTACTAGATCTAGATCCCGGCTGCTTTGGACGTACGACCACAAGAGACACTTTTAGCAGCTCTAGGCGATGGTGAGTGTGTTTTTTGTTTATGACTATCAAGAGTCTCAATGATACAGCACACATTCATGCAACACTCTTACTTTATTGATTTTTTTTTTAACTCCTACAATGTGGACTAAAAACTCTCCTTTTCTGAGCGTTGGCACTCAAGCGTGGAGGTGTGTAAGTGAGAAAGGCAGGAAATAAAGAAAAAAAAGAGAACCCTAGATTCTGCTATAAAAGTCTGAGAACACATTGAAAGTCTGGGATTCAAAATCTAATTCAAATTTGGAAATACATTAGTGAGAATAGATTTTAGAAACTAATAAATAAAGAAATCAATACTCTAAATGTTAATCAATATTTCAGGTATACTACAGTAGGTCACACTGATCATGTAACTCTTTGTACAGACAGTTCTTTCTTACATTAAAGTGCTTAGACTTCCGTAAATTTCTCAATTTACAATTCAACTTTCCGGGACTACACACTCTATTTATATCACATGATTTAGCAACGTTGCACTTGTGAACCCGCCACACAGAGTGTGCGCAAAAAGTTAACAGGAGGGGGGAGGAGATGTCTTTCTTCCACTGAGCATTGTTCTCTCCTCCCTCCTCTTACTATCTGTCCACCCCTTCTCTCCACTCTCGCTCAATCTCGCCCCATCAATTCCCACCTACTCCATCTTACGCACTAAGGTTAAACAGCCCTGATTGTGGCGCATTTTCATCTCCAGCACACATACGCACATGCACACACATGCACAAGAGGGGCCCCTACCTTTAGGTGACACGCTGCGGGACTTCTTGCTGTCAGATGGGCACTCGCTGCTGCTGTTGGGGGAGTAGGCTCTCCTCTTGCCTAGAATGTCATCTGTGGGGAAAAAAAAAGATAGAGAAAGAGGTTAGGGGGGTTCAGATGCGGTCAGACGGCCCCTAAACCCCTTGGCGTGCAGCTCACCACCTGGCTCAGTACCTGCATACATGATGGAGCTGTGAGAGCGACTAAAGATACGAAGAGATGAGAGGGCCCTGCGCCAGCGTGAATGACAGATCTGGTTCTTACTCAGCCAAACGAGAGATTCTTTCACCCGCTCTTTCTCCTATCTCGAACAAACACGCTCCCTCTCTTTTGCACTCACCCTCGCTCTCTACCGTTGTTTCTTGTCTTGACTCTCTATCTCTCTATCTGTGCATACAAACGCTCTTGGTCTTCACACCGGCCTAATACGGAGTAAAATGACAAGTAATGAAAAGACAAGCGAGAGAAAAAAAAAGTACGTCTAGGCTTCTATCAAACTCCTGTTGTCGTGCTATTATGCCTTTTTGCTTTTTTCACTCACTCTCACTCTCCGTTTTCAGTGAATATAGAGCTCACACCTTTTGCTAATCTCTTCCTTCCTCTCTATCACTCTTTCTCTCCCTCCCCCTTCTCTCTTTATCTTTCTCTCTCTCTCTCTCTAGAAAAGTGGAGGCTGTCTGCACAAGCCTAATGCAGCGCTCTAGTGAGCCGCTGGTGTCTAGTGTACGATTACAGCACCCTCCTCCCCCCAAACACATCTCAAATCAATATCCTGCTAATCATGCTGGGAGGGGTGCTGCTGAGAGCATGGTGGTGCATGCATGCAGGAAGGAAGAGACCGTTTGTCATTGCACTCTCCTCTCCCTCCCTCCTTCTCTCTCTCTCTCTGCCCTCATGCGCCACATGAAGTAAAAAAGTCAAAGCCACAGAGTTATGCTCTTCCTTTTGTCTTTTGTTGTTGTCTGATTCTTTATCTAATGAGATTGTGCATCTCAAATAGATTATGCATGTTGCTTGTATTTGAACGTTTATTGTATTTATTGTGTTTTATTGTCTATAGATATCATAAAAAGTTATTTTAAAAACATTTATGGTGCCCTGTGGGTGCATCATTTTAAAGACCTCATAATATCACTCGACAAGTACAGTTTTCTTTCTTATTCTGACGTATTTCCTATTGAAACAGACAATTACAATGCAACATATTGACATACATACATACATACATACATCTTCTTCCGCTCATCCGGGGCCGGGTCGCGGGGGCAGCAGTCTAAGCAGAGATGCCCAGACTTCCCTCTCCCTAGACACTTCCTCCAGCTCTTCTGGGGGGATACCGAGGCGTTCCCAGGCCAGCCGGGAGACATAGTCTCTCCAGCGTGTCCTAGGTCTTCCCCGGGGCCTCCGCCCAGTGGGACGTGCCCGGAACACCTCCCCAGGAAGGCGTCCAGGAGGCATCCGGAACAGATGCCCGAGCCACCTCAGCTGACCCCTCTCGATGTGGAGGAGCAGCGGCTCTACTCTGAGCTCCTCCCGAGTGACCGAGCTTCTCACCCTATCTCTAAGGGATCGCCCAGCCACCCTGCGGAGAAAGCTCATTTCAGCCGCCTGTATCCGGGATCTTGTTCTTTCGGTCATGACCCAAAGCTCATGACCATAGGTGAGAGTAGGAACGTAGATTGACTGGTAAATCGAGAGCTTTGCCTTACGGCTCAGCTCCTTCTTCACCACAACAGATCGGTACATCGACCGCATTACTGCTGAAGCTGCACCGATCCGTCTGTCAATCTCCCGTTCCATCCTTCCCTCACTCGTGAACAAAACCCCAAGATACTTAAACTCCTCCACTTGAGGAAGGATCTCTCCACCAACCTGAAGTGGGCAAGCCACCCTTTTCCGGCTGAGGACCATGGCCTCGGATTTGGAGGTGCTTATTTTCATCCCAGCCGCTTCACACTCGGCTGCAAACCGTCCCAGTGCACGCTGAAGGTCCTGGTATGAAGGGGCCAACACGACAACATCATCCGCGAAGAGCAGAGACGAAATCGTGTGGTCCCCAAACCTGACACCCTCCGGCCCCTGGCTGCGCCTAGAAATTCTGTCCATAAAGATTATGAACAGAACCGGCGACAAAGGGCAGCCCTGCCGGAGTCCAACATGCACCGGGAAGAAGTCTGACTTACTACCGGCAATGCGAACCAAGCTCCTGCTTCGGTCATACAGGGACCGGACAGCCCTTAGCAAAGGACCCCGGACCCCATATTCCCGGAGCACCCTCCACAGGCCGCCTCGGGGGACACAGTCGAATGCCTTCTCCAAATCCACAAAACACATGTGGACTGGTTGGGCAAACTCCCATGAACCCTCCAGCACCCCGTAGAGAGTATAGAGCTGGTCCAGTGTTCCACGGCCAGGACGAAAACCGCACTGTTCCTCCTGAATCCGAGGTTCCACTATCGGCCGTATTCTCCTCTCCAGTACCCTGGCATAGACTTTCCCAGGGAGGCTGAGAAGTGTGATCCCCCTATAGTTGGAACACACCCTCCGGTCCCCCTTCTTAAAAAGAGGAACCACCACCCCGGTCTGCCATCCCAGAGGCACTGTCCCCGACCGCCACGCGATGCTGCAGAGGCGTGTCAACCAAGACAGCCCCACAGCATCCAGAGACTTAAGGTATTCGGGGCGGATCTCATCCACCCCCGGTGCCTTGCCACCGAGGAGTTTCTTGACTACCTCGGTGACCTCAGCTAGGGTGATGGACGAGTCCACCTCCGAACCCTCAGCCTCTGCTTCCTCCATGGAAGACGTGACGGCGGGATTGAGGAGGTCCTCGAAGTATTCCTTCCACCGTCCGACGACATCCCCAGTCGAGGTCAACAGCCGCCCACCCCTACTGTAAACAGCATTGGTAGGGGACTGTTTCCCCTTCCTGAGGCGCCGGACAGTTTGCCAGAATTTCTTCGAGGCCAGCCGATAGTCCTTCTCCATGGCCTCACCGAACTCCTCCCAGGCCCGAGTTTTTGCCTCCACGACCACCCGGGCCGCAGTCCGCTTGGCCTGCCGGTACCTGTCAGCTGCCTCCGGAGTCCCACGAGCCAACCAGGCCCGATAGGACTCCTTCTTCAGCTTGACGGCATCCTTTACTTCCGGTGTCCACCACCGGGTTCGAGGATTGCCGCCTCGACAGGCACCGGAGACCTTACGGCCACAGCTCCGAGCAGCCGCTTCGACAATGGAGGTGGAGAACATGGTCCACTCAGACTCAATATCTCCAGCCTCCTTCGGGATCTGGTCGTAGCTCTGCCGGAGGTGAGAGTTGAAGATCTTTCTGACAGGAGATTCGGCCAAACGTTCCCAGCAAACCCTCACAGTACGCTTGGGTCTGCCGAGTCCGTCCAGCCTCCTCCCCCGCCATCGGATCCAACTCACCACCAGGTGGTGATCAGTTGACAGCTCCGCCCCTCTCTTCACCCGAGTGTCCAAGACATACGGCCGCAGGTCAGATGAAACGACCACAAAGTCGATCATCGACCTACGGCCTAGGGTGTCCTGGTGCCACGTGCACTGGTGGACACCCTTATGCTTGAACATGGTGTTCGTTATGGACAAACTGTAACTAGCACAGAAGTCCAATAACTGAACACCACTCGGGTTCAGGTCGGGGGGCCGTTCCTCCCAATCACGCCCCTCCAGGTGTCACTGTCGTTACCCACGTGAGCGTTGAAGTCCCCCAGTAGAACAACGGAGTCCCCAGTCGGGGCACTTTCCAGCACCCCTCCCAGAGACTCCAAGAAGGCCGGGTACTCTACACTGCCGTTTGGCCCGTAGGCACAAACGACAGTGAGAGACCTATCCCCGACCCGTAGGCGTAGAGAAACGACCCTCTCGTTCACCGGGGTAAACTCCAACACATGGCGGCTGAGCTGGGGGGCTATAAGCAAGCCCACACCAGCCCGCCGCCTCTCACCATGGGCAACTCCAGAGTGGTGAAGAGTCCATCCTCTCTCAAGGAGTGTGGTTCCAGAACCCAAGCCATGCGTAGAGGTGATTCCGACTATCTCTAGTCGGAACCTCTCAACCTCACGCACAATCTCGGGCTCCTTCCCCGCCAGTGAGGTGACGTTCCACGTCCCTAAGGCTAGATTCCGTGTCCAGGGATCGGGTCGCCGAGGCCCCTGCCTTCGACTGCCGCCCAATCCTCTCTGCACCGGCCCCTTACGGCTCCTCCTGCAGGTGGTGAGCCCACGGGAAGACGGTCCCACGTCGCTTCTTCGGGCTGAGCCCGGCCGGACCCCGTGGGGAGAGGCCCGGCCACCAGGCGCTCGCATACGAGCCCCAACCCCGGGCCTGGCTCCAGGGTGGGGCCCCGGCTGCGCCATACCGGGCGACGTCACGGTCCTTGGGTGTATTTCCTTCATAAGGGGGTTTTTGAACCGCTCTTAGTCTGACCCGTCGCCTAGGACCTGTTTGCCTTGGGAGACCCTACCAGGGGCATATAGCCCCAGACAACATAGCTCCTAGGGTCATTCGGGTACTCAAACCCCTCCACCACGTTAAGGTGGCAGTTCAAGGAGGGGGATTGACATATAGTCATATATGACTATATGTCTATATATTGACATATAGTCAATATATATGACTATATATTGACATATAGTCATATTTCTTTTTAAATAGCCAATATGATTTGTTGCATTTGGTATAAATTGCAACAGTTGGGTTACGGAAGTAATATCATATTCCTTTTATCCATTGGGGAATAGATTTTTAATAAATAAACCTTTAAAGACAGACCTACTGTGAGCTACAAGGATGTTAATCAATGGTACATGCTTTTGATGAAGCCATCAGTCTGCATTATTTCAACTTTATTTTTAAATAATAATGTTAAACAGCAGAATTCCTGGTAAAAACTACATTCGCCTTGATTCTGCAAAAGATCTCCACAAATCAGAAAATAGAATCATACAAAATTTAACCCCCCCCCCCGACATTAACGTCACCCGGCATTTGTCCCGGGATTGTTTGATTTTGGTTCATTCACACTGCTAGTGATTTGCCCGGGATCTGTG